CCCAGCCCCCCTCATCTCCCGACCCCCTTCCCTCCCCAGCTCCCCAATCTCCTCTCACTTTCCCTGTGCCCCTTAAAAGGCTTTATTTCTCTGCACACCACTTACCATGACCTGGAATTCAGTTCCCTATGTAGAGGACGTTTATTTTTCTATTTCCTCGTAGGAACGTCAGCTCTAAGAGGACAGGGACTTTTTTCTCACCCCTTCTATGCTCAGTGCACATGGGAGGCACTCAGAATCTGGGGCGTGATATAGGTGTTCTTACGACAGGAAAACACTAGCCAAGTCACTGCCAACTTGGAATGAATTCACATAAACAAAAGCAATAGGAAAACACCTAATGTCTGTGACTTATGTAGTTACACCTCATAGTTCACCACTTAACTTCCCATCGAAATAAAGTTTCCCTGGAAGTGTCATGGCAACATTTTTTTTTCTTTTATATTTCACTTATTTATTTGACAGCGAGAGAGGAAACACAAGCAGGGGGAGGGAGAGGGAGAAGCAGGCTTCCCGCTGAGCAGGGAGCCTGATGTGGGGCTGGATCCCAGGACCCCCCGATGATCATGACCTGAGCCAAAGGCAGACGCTTAATGACTGAGCCACCCAGGCGCCCCCAGCATTCTTAACAATAGCAGCCACGGGCAAAAATCCTCTGAGCGAGAAAGAAATCCCAGCAGAGGCTCTTGCGTTCCGATCTCTGTGCCTTGTGGAAAAGATGATGATATTTACTCAGCACCTGGCTCTTAATAACCGTGCTGTCCTCAGATCAGACTCCGTGGAGACCGTGTCCCGAGTGCAGGAAGGCACCAGGAGGGTCTCACCGCTAAGGAGACACCCAGCCTCCTGGCACCCGACACCTGCCGTGGCTCAGACCTCGCCTCCCTGGGGCCTGGGAGTTTGGCTCCTCTGTTGCTCACACAGCTGGGCCTCCGACCTCAGTCCGAGCCCTCCCTTTCAGAAAGCCGCACACACCCAAATGAGGAGCTGCCTATACCTGGAGGTTGGAGGCCGGTACCTAAACTAGAGAGCATATTCTTGTTATTCTCCCAGGGTCCATGGGAGAACTAGGACAGCCAGGACTCAGAAGTTAAGCAAAAACCTGCTTTATCTGTTGAAAAGAACGTCTTAGTTTTGCCTTCATTAAGCTGCTAACTAAACCACAGAGTCACAGAAACAAATACACAGAAGGAGAAGAGAGGGAACTGGAAGCGGCTGAGTCCAGCCCCGGGGGCGGCGGCGAGGAAGAGGAGGACCGCCCGCGGCACAGCACGCTGGTAAACAGAGATGCGCACACACAGCTAATCTGTTCGCACTTGGTCAGCAGTCGGTCTTCACATTACCTCCTCGTTCACATGAAGTCCCAGGCTTTTTGCATGTTCTCTGTCGTCTCGGTGCAGTTTCTGGTCGTAGCCTGGGCTCTTGTTAAAAACACAGTCGTACAGGGAAATGACTCCTGTCTGGGAATAAAAAGAGAAAGCCAGGCATGGGCTCACTGGACGGCTGGGCCACGGAAATCCTCGTGGAGCTTGGAAGCCAGGCTTCTCCCTGATGGACAGTGGAGATGTGCAGTCTCCCGTCTGCACTGAGTATGTGCTCGGGAAGATCACCCCAGAGCAGACCCTGGACGACCAGAGCAGGTCCCCAAGAGGCCCAGCGAGGTGGGGACATCCCCGTGGCTCTTTTTCTGCACCTCCTACAGACCCCTCCTTGATCAAGGCACTTGACCCTCCCGATCTCTGACTGTACCACCAACACACAACCTTAACGTAACAGTAATCCACTCAGTATGTACGTTTTTCTCCTTCATTTCCACCTGTCTTGTATTTCTCAGGTTTTCTGCAATAAGCTTGTACTGCTTTAAAAAATTAACCATAACTGAACACTGAGACAATATAACCAAACAGAAGTATCTGTAAGTTGCTGCCAAGAGATGGGCACCTAGTACAAATCCCTCTCCGAAGAGACAGAAATACTTCCTTTAATCAGATGCGGTAGCTCTAACAGATGTCATTCATAATGCATGGATATATATATTTGATATATAATATATGTACATTTATAATATATGCACATACATCAGACAGATATAAAAATACGTGCACACGCAAAGCTTTGATGTATTAGAAAATTATCACGTAAACAGCTTTCATCTGAAACATCTCCAATTTTTTCATCCCAAATTTCTCTTGATATAAAAATTAATTTGCTTTATCTGGTACCTAACAAAAGGAAAAGAAATTCTTGTGTTAGCTCATCTTTAATCTTCATGTGTAAGTCAGGCCTGTCCTTTATGTTCCTCCAGCCAAGGGCCCACTGCCCTGGATCTTCCAGCAGTAAACTGAGACTCGCCGTCTCGCCGGTATTTGGGGTCACAGGGCGTCTGCCTGCTCGTTTGCTTGTTTTCCCGGGTAGTAATGCTAGAACAATTTCCTCCAACTGCAGGACGCGGAGGTAGAAGCTAAACAGTGAACAGGATGCACGGCATGGGTTTGGTCTGCTGGGAAAAGTGGACCGCCCATTCTCGCCGACTGCGGGGCTCAGCGCGGCTGGCAGCAGTGGAAATGGCAAGGTGTGATGTGGCTCCTACCCCATCCTTGACAAGTCCCTCACGGGTCACCTGTCCTGTGCCAGAGCTGCCGCTCCTGCTGGGGGAGTCGGGAAGATTGCTCACACACACGGCCACCTCCCTGGTGCAGTTAACTACCTAGTAAGGAAAACAAGGTGAGCTTTTAGGATTATTTTAGGCTCCTGAGAATTCCAACAGCAACACGCCTGTGGCACTTACTCACCTGCTTTGCCCAAGTTCAGAGTCATTCCAAGGGACTTAGGCAGGAGCCGTGGCTTTGGAGTCTGTGCCCCAATGGCCATATAATGAGGTCAGCTTGCAGGAGCTTCTTGTTGGCACTGTCCTCTGTCACCTACTGGGCTCCTGGGTCTGTTCATGCACTGGGTTGGCTGGCCCTGGCCTTCACCTGTCCTGAAGACCACCTACAGTATAGCTCATACACCCCGGGTTAAAAAACAGAAAGCCCAAATCAGTGGGGCGGAGATACCTTATTCCACTTTGGGTACTGTAAAAATCGGCTATTTGGGAAAAACAATAAACTTGGATCTTCACGGCACATTTATCATCAGAAGTCAATTCTGGATGGCTTAGAAAAACAACTGAAAAGAAAATCCATAAGGGACCTCCTACGCATAAAAGTATTGGGGAAAATGTCACAAAGAAAGTATCAATCACTTTGGTTATATAAAAATCAGACATTTGATAATCAAACAAAATTAAGACTTTTTTTAAAGCCTGTAGGAAGGATGGAGAAATCTCAGTATCTTGAACATACAGTGTGTAGGAGGTAGGATGTCTGCAGAAACTGGGGGCATTGGCTGGGGGCTTGCTTCTAGCCTGGAGAGGTTCAGCACACCTTGCAGCTAGCCTTTCTTGGGAAGCCACCAGGCCAGAGGGCTCTGCAGTGACACAGAGAGGCTCAAGCACACCACGCACTCTGCCGGGATGGTGGGACGTAAATTCCCCAAAGGTGGGAATGCCGGCCTCTGCAAGGCGAGGCACCACGATGCAGACCCTTCCTTTTGGGGTTCAGAGCAGAGGTCCTGGCCTGGCCCGGCTGACCCCAGCAGGCCGACCGGACAGCAGCTAAATACCCCGTCGCCCCCACACCATCCCCTTACAGGGATTTAAGCTGGGCTCGTGGTCATAATCTAGATGTCCCATTGTCGCCAGAATCCCTCTGGTCTGGCTGACCCTGTGAAGTGAGTGTGTTTCTGGGAGTCTGCAACAGAAAGACCTGCTCCCCAATCAATCAATCAATCAATCAATCGAATCTTTGAAAAAGAAAAAGACAAGCCGCAGCAGCACCTGAGAAGCAGGTTAGTTCCGGAGTGCCTGCCCATCTTGCCATCTGCTCGAGCAGTCTTTATGAGGGATCTCACTGCACCCACAGGGTGTGAACAGCATCTCTCTGCTGTGCAGGGACGTTGCGTATCTACCACTTTCCAGAGTACAAATGAATTTTTCTGTCACTGAGAAATAAGGGGGGGGCAAGTCCCTCATCAGGCCAGCAGCCTCTCTTAGCAATGTGACTGTCCATTTCCAACACCTTATCAGGCCGAAAATCTGTTTTTTCCTGGATGCTAATTATTAATCTTTCTTCTTTCTGTCTTTCATCCCTTCATGGTTTGAAGCAAAATCGCGTTAATAAAAACCAATCTGGATTTAGATGCTATCACAAAACAGAGCTTCTGGGTTCACTGGTGTTTTGCTATTAAAATCTCTCAAGAGCTTTCCTCTCTCACGCGTATCATTGCTTTTAAAAAACAAAGCAAAATGAGCCCATTTATTTTCTCTCTGGTGATCTCCCTTTGTCCCTTTGCATTTTGAGTATTGTTAAAATGTAGCATGGTCTCGTTTTGGGTGTGGTGTCTGATCACTTGCCTTCAGTTCCCCCAAGGTGACCCATACTCCTACCACTGCAAATAACCCCTCTGTGGCCCTGGGCCGATGTCGTAAGAGTGGAGACCTTCACGTTTCAACCTCCAAAGTACATTGCTCTAACCATCGGACAAGGCACCCAGCTCGGCTCCAGGACAAAAATAGGGGAGTCCCCATCTTACAGGAGACCGCAGGCTGAGAATGGAAATAAACTCATTAATTAACCAATTCAAGGTAATGCCCACGGAGCAGCAGAGGTATGCACAAAGTACAGCGGCACCAGAGAGGAAGAATCCGCACCTGCCCGGCTAGGGCAGGAAGTCCATGTGGCTGCAGTCAGCACGGGAGGGGCCGCCCCGCATCCGTATGGCTGGAGCCCCAGGGAAGCCCCCTCCCTGCATGTTAAGCGTTGAATTGCATCCACCAAAAAATTCATACGTTGAAGTCCTAACCCCCAGGATCTCAGAAGGTGATTTAGAAATAAGGGCGCTGAGGATGTAATTAGTTAAGGTGAGGTCATACCGGGGTAGGGTTGGGCCCCTCATCCAAGAGCACTGGTGTCCTTATTTAAAAAGGTTCAGAAACCGACATAGACACGCAGAGGGAGATGGTGTGAGGAGACACAGAGAGAACAGGGCCATCCACAGCCAAAGGGGAGAGGCCTGGAGTAGACTCTCCCTCACAGCCTCCAAAGGAACCAACCCTGCCAACACCTTGATTTGGCCTCCGGAACGAGGAGACAGTAAGTTTCTGTTGCTTAAGCCCCTGGTCTCTGGTACCTTATTATGGCAGCTCCAACACACACACTTGGCAGCGAGCAATAGCCATCTTTTGAACAATGGAAAGTAAGAATGGAGCTAACGCATTCTGCTTCAAGTAAACTGAGTCAGTAGACCATTCAGCCCAGACAACCGGGTTGGTCGACATCACCAATATTCAGTTCTGCTCTACTCCTGACTCCACAGAGGGTTAATCTCCTCTGCTCCTTTGGGCAACTGAAGCCAAGTGGCCAGTTCTCAGCAATGAACTATGAGTGGGGGTGACATGGGACACCAGGTAGAAGCCTGTGGGGACCCCTGAAGCTTCCCGTGAGTGTTAGCAGCTTCCTCGGCGGTTGGTGAGTGACTCTCGTGGGCAGAGCCATTCCTCGGATCCCCGTTGGACTTTTAACGTGAGAAATAAGCCTTATTTGGGGCATTGAGACTTTGGAGGCTGTTGGTGATTGCAGCATAACCCTGTTTCTCATGCCTAAAGCAAGCAGGTACCTGAGGAAGTCCTGGCTTCTACCACCCCCAGCCTACAAGGGCGCATCTGCGGGTCCCGCACTTCTGTGCCCAGTTCCCCCCAGAGGGGTTACACACACTCTCACACCAATAACAGGAGTAAGATCTCCAGCAAACTGGGACCTGAGTCCTTTCTTTCCTCCTCTCTTTCAGATCGCTTAAATACAAATGCACTGTTATTGTCCGTTCAAACGAGGTAATGAGAAAAAGGAAATTAATACATTTTTACCGTAGTACTCGGGCAGGGGTAATGTTATGTGCTCACTGAACACACCTTCTCTTCCAGAATAAACAGAAGACCGCAATCACCAGGTGCCATCACAATTAGGCTGGGGCCAGGTGACAAGCTCTGGCAAAGAACTGTGGGGGAAACCAGCGAGCATCACCTTCTAGGTAGTGGTCCATAAGAGCTCTCATGTGCCCTCCATGCTCTCCCCTGGCTCTTTGACCAGCAAGTTCAGAGGGTCCAATGCAGGACTGCAAGCTCCCAAAGATCCGCACATCTGGGAACCACTAAAAAGGAGCCTGGTTTCCCAAGTTACTGGGCAGGAGAAACACACATGAAGAAACACTCTTCCATGGGCGCCTGGGTGGCTCAGTTGGTTAAGCAACTGCCTTTGGCTCAGGTCATGATCCTGGAGTCCCGGGATCGAGTCCCACATCGGACTCCCTGCTCAGTGGGGAGTCTGCTTCTCCCTCTGATCCTCCCCCTCTCATGCTCTCTATCTCCCATTCTCTCTCTCAGATAAATAAATAAAAAAACCTAAAAAAAAAAAAAAAAAGAAACACTCTTCCATTATGTTAACGTTTATATGCACAAGGCCAGTGGTGTGCTTAGGTTAACAAGCAGCTCTCTGGACAAAAAAGACCTGACTTGTAACATTTGCTAATTTCAGCAGTAGAAATACTCTCACCGTGCCTGATTTCAGGCTTCCAAACGAATGCAGAGTTCAAACAAAATGCTAAAATGTATGAGCAGGCTCTGACACCCCACTGGTTAAGACTCTCAGGGTTCAGGGTCTGTTTGCTTCCAGAGCACATCCCAGCCCGCCTGGACCGAAACGTTAATCAAGCTGTGATCAGGCTGCGTTCATTTCCTCTCTTAGTGGGCATAGTACTGTTACCTCTCATCCGGAGGGTTTCAGACACTGTTTGCCTACCAGTGTGTGACCTACTTTTAAAAAAATGACAATTCTCAAGGTGATCCAGAAGAGTTTCCTTTGATTCATAGGGGCCTCATTTTTACTTCTGGTAAGTCTAGTGCTTCTCCCCAGGGGGGTCCAGCGGTATGTGAAACTTAAGGAGGACATTTTCATTAATTCTAACATCATTAAAAATTCCATTCTCGGAAGGACTGTAGCTTGTCAAGGATATAATGTTAGCTCTTAAAAGGACAATACTCAGCTCTTCTCTTTGGCTCCTCTGTGGCAAAGATTCTGTTTCTAGATCTCAGGGCACAAGTTTGGGAAATGGTTGTAACTTTTCCAATAATCCGAAAATTTTACCAGTTTAATAAGAATCCTATCATAAGCAGCCTTGTTAATGCGTTTTTTTCACTACTTTTAAGGGATCTGTTGCTGGCAGTGCTGCCCAAAACCAGAGCCCTAGAACCTGCCGCCTTACCCCTGAGTTGAAGTGAACAAACACCCACCTTTGATCTCACGTGTATTTCCTGCTGGAGGTGTCTCTGAGTGAGGGGTCTGCGCAATCTGTCGCCAAGACGAGACCTGGTACTTGCTCCTGCTTCTGTTGACACCAGTGCCCTCCCGCCCCCGCCCCCCAGCTGTTCACATCACTGAAGGAAGGCTGAGCCACCCGTGCTGAAACTTGGCCAGATATATTGGGGATAACGCTGTTCCTTTTCCTGTGTCACTGTGCCCCTCAAAAGGGGATGACTTTGAAAAAAACGTCTAAGATACGGTGTTACATGAAAAGGGCAAGCTGCAAATACATATGCACAGCTGTGTGATCTGCGTGTAAACGTGTTCTTTTAAACACAGTCAGACAGCACCGCGTTCATGTGCGCACAGCGGACAACCCACCACTCCAGCTGTTTCGGCCCATACGCAGGACTTCGGCTAGAAGGACGCGCACACGGCCTCTCCCCTCACCCTTCCTCCCTCCCTCGGGGTACCCTTCCCCTTGCTAAGCTCCACCTGCCCTGGAGGAAGACATTCAGCCCCACCCCTTGCCCCCACAGACCTCCAGTTTTCTGTCACTGGACAGGGAAGATGCAGCTAGCTGCCTTCAGAAGAAGCAACACCGTCCACTCCCAGTGTTGGTCCCTGAGGAGCAGAGCAAGGCCAAGGAAAACCCAGGCAGCAGATAATGCCAAAGGGAACCTCTATCTAGTCTAAGAGGCTAATCTTGTCAGTGACTTATCCTGGTTTAAATAAACTCTGCACCCCATTCCTGCACGCCTCCTTCATTCACTGCAGCCGGTATTTATGAAGCGCCCACAATGAGACGGGCACCGTTGAGATTGCTTGGGACAGAACCATGACGACAATAATCCCTGTCCTCACAAGCTCAGACTTCAGTGGAAGAAACAAGCAGCAAGATAACTAAGTAAAATGTTTAGTCAGTTGATACTAAAACATGTACAGGAGGAAAAACGGGCAGGGAGGGGGAAGGAAACGTCTGTGGGGGGTGCTCATAATTTCATTCAGCGGGCACTCATTTTTACTGCAAGCATGTGGGTGCAAGGGTCTGCCTAGATTTTAAGAAGTAAAGGAGCACCAGAACTGGAGCTTACCGCTCCTCCAGAGCCCTTAGGAGCGGCTGAGGTTGCGTGGCAGATTGCTCCGTGCCTAAGGATGAAGAGGCTCCATCTCGGAGGGGTTGGGGGGTGGCGGGCTCGTACTGAACACCTCCTATACACTGGATGCG